TCTAGCTATGAGGTAAAATGCAGCCAAAATTAGTTATACCAATTTTTGTGTGACACCTGTGTTGACAAAAATATTGCTTGCTTAAGTTCACTATTATTTACAAAAGCATGTTTTCCACTAGACTTTGTGTACACATGCCTGACTGGAAAGTTTGGAAATTGCATGCCAGAGATTTCTAAAATTTAAAGGTGATGTAAAGTCCGTAATGTAAACAAATGCTTTGTTTACATTTTGAACTCAGTGCTACAGTTGTAAAATATGATTAGATAGATATTATACTGAATTTTTAACACTCTTCCGGTTCGCTATGCTTGTAAATGAATGCAGACTAGAAATTCAATTCAAGAAAGTTTGGAAGGTGCGAAACAACATTCCAAAGGTTGTTCCCCCACTGATGGAATGTGTTGATACGCAGAATATATGCGCAGAACGGACTTTACAGCATCTTTAATAGTAAATACCAGTATATAGAAAGCATCAAAATTGTGTGCCTCACTACAGGTGTATATCTCTGTCGTGCAATACAAACTTTCCACACTGATACACCTGCAAACTAGCCTAGTGGTAGACAGGCTATCAGGGGGATGTTCATATGCAGGTAAGCCATCCCAGCTCATTTTACTGAGATCTAACGTTACTATGTATATAATTTATACTAATATTATCTTGTGTTTATATGGGATCTTGGAACCGGGGTGGCCTGCCTAGGCAAGATCTTGCTCAACCTCGTTCCCAGGGCTTTCGTATGAGGATGAGGGGAGAGATGAGAAAGCCCTGGTCTGGGCCGGTCAATTTTGCATTTCTGATTGGTTAACACCATATTGTCTAAAAATAGCTGAACTTGACAGCTGACAACCTTGACAATAACAATTCAACATAATTATGTATTTTTATGATTCTTGTGTGTACGAGTATATTTTGCAAAATATTAATCTTTCAATTAAAGTAAGAAGTTTTCAGTTTTCCCGACTGCATGATTTACTTTCGCCTCAACTGGTTACAAAACGCAAAAGCTGTGTCGACGTGTGCTGTGATGTTTCCTGACAAAACAAGAAATGTCTACTATTAAGCTGTAGTTTTCCTTGTACAGTATTTATAATGTAGTGCAGATGTCTGATGGAATATTCTACGCATATTGCATTGTAGTAATATTTTCATTTACAATATTCTATACAGTAAGTACTCAGTCTGACAAATAAAAGCAAGACAAACAATTAAATGAAACTACTGTCAGTACTAATTTAGGCCCTGTTTACTTAATAGCTCTACTGCCTATGCGTAGGCCGATGTAGTCTGTACTAGATTCGCTTGTCACGACACAGAGTTTTACAGTTTCAGAATACCACGAATACTTGAAAATATTGCGACTATACAATAAAATAAAACAAAGATTGTAAAATAAAATTTGAAGGCAAGCATTGCTCCTGAACGGCAAGTGAATCTGTATATTCCTGTACAGCGTAAACAGGTTACATGAGGTTTTATATTTGTGTTTATTTATATCGAACTAAGTCAGATCTAAGAGCATATTTAAACTAAATATTATATTAGTGCTGTGCGCCGGAGTTGCCGGAGCCGGAGTTCTGCCGGAGCTCCGGCGGTTTTTCCGACGCCAGAGCCGGAGCAGAATTTTGTATGCCGGAGCCCGGAGCCGGAGTTACGTATTTCCGGCTCCGGCAAAATGAAAGAAAACAATATGAAATGAGACAAATGTCAAACGATTGTTAGTTACTGCAAACTGCCAATTGCTGTTAATGAATTCATCATGGACTCAAACTGCCACAGCCCACAGGAACAGCGTCGAAAAGCTGTAATACGATCGCAACTTACAAACGTCATGCTTTCATGAAGCCATCTGACTTAGCGTTACATACTGTAGTCTGTGTATTCATGCCTTGTAGATAACGAAAAAGTACAAAACAAATAAATATCTACCTTTTGAAAATGGCAGAGTACTTTGTTTGCGTGCGAACAATTGCGCTGTGGAGTCTGAGAGTGTCATGCCTCGCGTCATGCCTCGCGTCATGCCTCGCGTCATGCCTCGTGTCAAAGATTTTTCGAGGCTGGTTTCCATATAGATATTTTCTGCGTGGTTAAGTCTTAAGTGTTTTCACTGTTTTGTTTCCTGAATTATGTTATCTGATAATTAGGAAGCGCGAAAAGGGTTATTCATAATAATATTAATAAATGTTCTCTGATCGTAAAATATTTATTTAATATTTTATGATGTGGCCGGAGCCGGAGCTCAGAGCTGTAATTCGGCCGGAGCCGGAGCCGGAGATGAAAAACCGGAGTTTGCACAGCACTATATTATATATAGAATAGCCATATTGTTCAAGACGAGAGAAAGCAAATTCTGTGTGAATCACCATTTGGAGACGCCTAGATGCAGCTTAAATATATATATATATAATTTATATTTATTTGGGCTTATTATATTATTTATTTTTGTATTGTACGAAGGCTGAATAGTGCTACCAACTGGATAGTGATTCTTTCAACCACTGTAAAATTGCTTGAAAAGTTACAAAACTACGAACATTAGATCTATCCTGGTTGCCAGAGGTTCTTGTATCTTCCGCCCTATTCTTTCTCGTATTTACAAATACAGTACATAATTTATAATACGGCGCAGGAACCTCTGGAACCAGGGTAATGACTAAAATTAATGTAGATCCCACAATTAATAAAACTTTGTTAATCGCTTCTGTTTCTATATTTAATGAAGGGATGGCAAAATTAGATGGACACTCTTTTGAAAGATGTTGGAATGAAATAAAACTCAAATTTTGGCCTGTGTACAAGGTAACTACAATCTCTATTTATGTACAGTATTATACTTGATGGTGTTAGGGCAAAATGGCAAGTACTGTATATACAACAAAGTATGAAATTGCAAAATGGGAAAGTGAACATTTAATCAGATTCAACCAAGACTATCCTGTAGAGATCAGTGCAATCTCACCAGCAAATGTAAGAATCTGAATCATTGATAAAGTAGGCGGCTGTGGGGAGCGGTCTAGGGAGTCTTAAAGTCGTCCAAATTAACTAGACATAAGTTTATATTGATTAGATAGCAACACAACTGAGCTCTGTAACCAAATTATTAATAAATAAATGTATCCTTTCATTTTTCAACAAGATAAATTGAACATTTAAGATGGCAAATAACTGAATCAGTTCCATGAAATAATTTTCGAAAATAACCAGGCAGGGTACTGCCACGAGGTTCACCACTGGTCTCACAGTGGACCCAACGTAGTGAACGAAAAATGCTCAGATTTATAAGGATTTTTTAAAAATTATTTTGTCAAATTCTGATAAACATTCGTGTAGTCACTTTCACCGAGTTTCACGTCACGTAGTGCAACTTAAGTTATGCTGGTTGCTTGCTCATGATTCAAGACACACGTGTTTATTACTGTAAGTACAGATATCTACACTTGTTTAGTGCACGTCGTTTTACGATGACTGCCTGATTTAAACCCAACACGATTGCGCATCAACAATTCATTCACGCTCTCTACGTACACAACTCTCAACTCACAATTGAGGTTCACACTGACACACACATAGGCTAACATATTCAACACCTCAACTACCTTTAACCAGTTTTAGCCTATATTTATACTAACAGAACAGGAATACATATTTTCTTAGCCAGCGTGGCCGGCTCTTCTATAGGGCAGAGAATTGAAGAAGAGCCTGCCCGAAAGCCCTAGTAAAATTGATCGCCACCTACTTAGTTAATATTCCATACTAACACCGCCCACTTGAAATAGTTTTGTATAAATGTGACATAAAATGTCAGTTGTTGCATATTTACTAGCGAGCGCTACATGTACATATTTTTAATACTGCAATATTATAACTGTAGTACGGCCATACAGGTGCAAAGCAATAATATCATTTTGAACGGTCTTCGTCTAATATTTTCCAGACAAAGTCGAAGAGCTTTCGCTCGAAATGCCGACGTTTTGCTCGTATTTTCATGAATGCAGTTGAATCGCTATCCATCTACATATTAAAAAGTTTATTGAAAGCAAAATATGTTTATGACTGCCGAGAGTGATCAATTTTACTAGGGCTTTCGGACAGGCTCTTCTTCAATTCTCTGCCCTATAGAAGAGCCGGCCACGCTGGCTAATATTTTCTCTACCACAAATTTCCCTCATGTAAATGGACGCGTTTACTGCTGTTTTGTTGCTACTTTGCATTTTGAAATCAAAATTTGTTTTCAAAAATCAAAATCGGTAAGACGAACAGTGTATGACTTCAATAATGCAAACTTTGACGGTGCTCGTGAACATCTAAAGAATGTTCCTCTCGATTCTGCGATATCTGATATTAAGTTCAGATGTAGATGAATGCTGAAAAGCATGAAAAGATCTATTCATCACAGCAATAGATAAATGCGTACCGAAAAAGAACGTCGTTGACACCACCTTGGATAGACCGGGACGTTAAACACATGATTAAGAAGAAATACACAGCTCTACGACAATATCGTCAGAAACGAAGGGAAGGACGGAAATGCAAACTACGCCAGTTGACACAGGAAACTAAGGACTTGATTAAACAAAAACGCCATCAATACATAGAAAAAGTTCAAGATTCCCTCGCAAAATTCTGGTCCTACCACAAACATATCCTCCGCAATAGAAATTCCCCACCTGCTAACACGTACAACAACTCAACTGCAACAACACCACACAAAAAAGCAGAACTTTTCAACGCATTCTTCGCGTCTGTTTTTCTTCCGAAATCCTCTTCCAAAGATGTAAACCTGAACATGACATCGAAAACTGAAGAGATAATATCTTAATCATTTGGACACAACAAAGGCTTATGGCCCAGACGGAATACCACCACGTCTACTGAAAGAATTCTCAAGAGAAATCTCGGCAAGCCTCTGCAGTTTGTTCAACATGTCCTTAACAACAGTCAACAGGCCGCCTACCTATAGAATGGAAACATGCGAACGTTATACCCATCCACAAAAAAGACTATGTCGAACTCCTTGACCAATAATTTCCAAAGTTCTCGAAAGATGCATTTTCAATAACATTTACCCGTTTGTTCGTGTACTGATCAATAATGTCCAACATGACTTCTTATAAGAAATCGGTCATGCATAACTCAGCTTCTATAGGTGTACTACATGACATTGGTAAGAATCTCCATATGTGAAAATATGTCTCCATATGTCTTCTATGTCAAAACTCCAAAATCGTCATATGAACTCAATAGCTGACCAAATGGTCAGCTATTGAGTATTGAGTTCATATGACGATTTCACAGTTACCTGTTAACCAGTCAGAAACCACGAATCTTTTAACCAAATAGTAATTTAAATTGCTACTCGAATTCCAATTGGAATTTGGGCCAATTTACAATAGAAATTCATTTTCGAGTTCCATTTGGATTTCGACTAAGTATAGCCTGTGGTCAGCCCCACGATATCATCAAATATTTTAAGGTTAATGTGTAACAGATTAATGAGAGATTGCATTTTAGTTTGCAACCTACTTATGTGGAAAAATCATCGACCATATATCTGAGCAGAACAATTAGTAGACGGTCATACTGGCTGGTAGCAAAACAGCTGATGGCAGACTATCATGTCAACGTTTTTTAATTCATAGTTGATAAACTACGACACAATATTGGAGCACAATGAATTTAGGTGAATTTTAATCAGTGCTTATTTTTTTATTTCTCAACAGATGGATTTATCTGTATGGCCAGCGGCACAAGCAGTGAATTTTTATGTAGTCCCAGGTCAATATCGTGTTGCGTATGTCAGCTTTGTTGCTTTGTTATGGAATATATTTTTATCTTATATAAGCCACAAGGTAAGTTGTGCAAACTACAACTACACATTAGCCTTTTGTGGCTTACCTAACATTTGTTTGTAAGCAGTGGTTTGTCAGAGTGAGAAACATGGTGGACAAATGAATGCCGAAGGATTGCAAATAGTCGCAGCAGTTCGAGCCATGCTTCTCTGGCTCTTTTGACTTGCAGTATAGCGTAGGTAACTCATCCCTGGAGTGGAAATATCATATTCCTGTTCTTGACTTGCAGTATAGCGTAGGTAACTCATCCTTCTCATTCCTGTCCTTGACTTGCAGTATAGCAGAGTTAACTCATCCCTGTCCTTGACTTGCAGTATAGCAGAGTCAACTCATTCCAGTCCTTGACTTGCAGAAAAGCAGAGTTAACTCATTCCTGTCCTTGACTTGCAGAAAAGTAGAGTTAACTCATCCCTGCCCTTGAGTTGCAGAAAAGTAGAGTTAACTCATCCCTGCCCTTGACTTGCAGTGTAGCAGAGTTAACTCATTCCTGTCCTTGACTTGCAGAAAAGTAGAGTTAACTCATCTCTGTCCTTGACTTGCAGTATAGCAGAGTTAACTCATTCCTGTCCTTGACTTGCAGTATAGCAGAGTTAACTCATCCCCGTCTTTGACTTGCAGTATAGCAGAATTAACTCATTCCTGTCCTTGACTTGCAGTATAGCAGAGTTAACTCATCCCTGTCCTTGACTTGCAGTATAGCAGAATTAACTCATCCCTGTCCTTGACTTGCAGTATAGCAGAGTTAACTCATCCCTGTCCTTGACTTGCAGTATAGCAGAATTAACTCATTATTGTCCTTGACTTGCAGTATAGCAGAATTAACTCATTCCCGCCCTTGACTTGCAGTACAGTATAGCAGAATTAACTCATTATTGTCCTTGACTTGCAGTATAGCAGAATTAACTCATTCCCGCCCTTGACTTGCAGTATAGCAGAGTTAACTCATCCCTGTCCTTGAGTTGCAGTACAGCAGAGTTACTGTAACTCATTCCTGTCCTTGAGTTGCAGTATAGCAGAGTCAACCCATTCCTGTCCTTGACTTGCAGTATGTCAGGGTTATCTCGGAGGCAGCGTGCTAACCTTACCCGCCACGCCTGTGCCTGGTATAGTCGTCCACAGGCTACGTGTGCTGTTAATTACCCGAATACACAGTATATTTGGTGTAATGTGTATCTTCAACTTCGAACCCGTAAATTTCTTGAACACTTTTATAAGACGCTTTTCATCTTATGTTCTAGAAGGAAGACGAATTTTAAATATTTGCGCACAAGTTCGGCATATTGGAGTAGCGGAGAAAATAAAGTGGACGGAAAACTCCAGGAAATAGCATGCGAAAAAAGCATTGATAGAGAAATACAGTTACAGTAGATGGTATAAAGTCGACGTGCGAATAGATGCAGTATCAACATTTGCTTGGATCTGTTCCGCAACTGGAAACAAATTATACAGTAGATTTAGACTATGTTCACATTAGGCTGGAAAAATTTGGAACTCCACGGAAATTCGTCCGATTCCATTTGCTCGCTCTGTTCATTTATAAAACGCGAAATGAAATAATTGAAACTTGAATTCCGAAATCTTTCGGCCCCATGTGAGCCGAAATTTAAACACATATTTAAATGTAATATTTGTTAGGAATATATGTACGAAATCATTCATTTGCTGTTATCTTTGTAAACGTTTGCGCTGCGGAATCGTAGTGAATGAAGACATGATCTGCAAACTCAGTAAACTTCAAGTGTCTACAATGAGCTACGATTTTACTTTAATATGTTTAGACGGTTTCACCGTGCAGTCGTGCACAGATATTTTGATCGTTTGCTTAGTGATAATTGAACTGAGCAATTGAATCATTGGACGAGATGAAACGTTGGACAATTGCGTCATTGTGCCAATAATTCATTTTCTTCATTGTCCACAAGTTTGCATAAACATTTTTAACCAACTTTCCGGACCATATCTTGATTGATATACAATGGCCATCACGAATCGTCCACTTTTAGAATTACTGATGTCCCTTCATTATTTTGAACAACTCCCATCGCCTAAAATTAATATAGAAACAAAATTTAATGAATTGTTAGATCTCATTCTCAAGGGACTGGATGCCTGGAACGGGAAAAGCCTGGGAACGAGGTTGGATGAATCCAGCCATGGTTGGTTCCTGTCTTTGAATGTCACCTATGAATTCACTTAGGACTTTCTCTGGACGTATAAAAAACTTAAAAACCAGACGAATTCGACAGCTAACCGTACGAATTCCCGTTTGAACAAAATAATGAAATCGAAGTATAATGTGTTGTACGCTCTAGAATTACCGCAAAAGAATTCCAATGACAAATCGATTCCGAGAATTCAATACTTGCAGAATTGACATTATCGCGTTCATTTACTGTAAGCGATTTGCATGTATGAAAATATTTCTAGCGTCCGGAGGCTTTTGCTTGCTATTGCGGAATACACATTCACATTACAGGGCCTATTCTAAGGAAATTTCAATTCTGCACACTTCAGAGCAGGTGTCATCAATGACGTCACCCTGTGACGTCATCTTTGAATTGTTATGTTTTTATATAGAACTTGTAAAATTCATGAATAATTAGTAGGGCCACAAACAAATCACGATGCGGTATTTAGGTCACATGTGCACACTTTAGGTCACATGTGCACACACCGCATTAAAGATCAGAAAGTCGTGTTAGAGGGATGTTTATGAAAGTTAACAATACTAATTAAGAAGCATGGATGTTTATGAAAGTTAACAAACATTGTCCCCATGAGCAGAGAATAACGCGTCAGAAGAAAGATTCATAAATTGTCGCATTTCATTAAGATAGTTAACAAACATACTGCTCCATATTTAGTAGATCGTTTTCCTAAATTGGTGAATGAAAGATCTCTGCTCAAAGTATTACAGAGTATAGATGTAGAACTGAAAAATTTGAAAAGTCTTTCTTTCCTTCATGAACAATTTCCTTATGGAACTCTATTGATCTTGATGTATTCAAGGTTAATTTTAAAGCTAAAGTAACTAAACTTTATCACCCACTTCATTATGATAAATGGCTTAATTTTTCACTTTCGAAAAAAGCTTCTGTTTTTCATACAAGATTAACAATTGTCTTTGACTATATGTTTTTTTCTGTTGTTGGCAAGTTTTTTTCTGTTGTTGGCAAGTCTCTTATCTTGTCTTCTTGTGTTTATATACTTGTAAATACTTCTTTTATAAAAAAAGTAATTGACAGTAATTTCATGTGAGCCTCTTTGATAAGCCTACGGCTATTGAGGAAAACATTCTAATAAAGTTTATATAAAAAAGTAAACAATGCCCATAAAGATAAGCTGCTCATATTTTAACTAGTACATAATGACAACATAAAGTGTGTCCCCAAAAAAGTAAACCCTTTCAAATTCAAATCGGCCATAACCTATTGTATAGTAACTCGCTGATGCGACACAAATGACAATCTTGTTCCCAGACTCTTCCCTCTTGTGGAGGAAAGAAGTACACCGGCTTTTCTGGACATGAAAATATTGGAATTATTACTGGAACTTGGCATATATTTGGCCAATCTTTGTTTGTGCCTTTGCTCATTTTGTTACAAAGGCATTTGGGAATTATCGACTTTATATTTCATCTTCTTCGCTCCTTCAGCACATCTAATACAAACTTGAAATTTATTTCAAACTTCAAATTTCAATACTGCACACTTTCGCATTCAATACTGCACACTTTTTATTCAATACTGCACAAAGTGTGCAATACTGCACACTAAAATAGGCCCTGATTCACAACTGATATCAAATGTTGTGAATAAAGGCTATATGTTATGAATTATCGAGATCAGTAAGAGTGCTTATCATCCTCGAATATTTACAACGACCAAGTCTGTAGTGACGCAGGCCAGTGACGCAAAGGATTCGCAAATAGTATCCCCCTGCACACTACATCAGTTTACATTTCTGCGGATAGTGTCCCCCATAGCTAGTGAACGAAAAATGCTCGGATTTATGAGGATAGTTTTGAAGACTATCGCGCGTACCTTTAATTTACTTTGTTCCTTTAATTTTGCTTATCACACGACACAACGTTTGCCTAACACCGCATGCAACCTGCTTACACTTTGAGTTGTACTCGGTGTAAATCAAGCACACAACTCGTCTACGTTGTCGTAGGTAAATTGTTTGCTTGATCTTTTAGTACACAGTACAACTCAAGTTGTAAGCAGGTTACATGTGACTGCATGTACGTACACCAGAAACCACAAAAAGTACACCACAATTTTTTTTAAATGCACTCAATTAAAGCTTTCAATTAAATTAAAGATTTCAATTAAAGCGCCTAAGGGAAGCCTCACATATCGATTTTGTCCATGAGAAACGTCATATGTTCGTTTCTCTGGAGACCCTCCCCCCCCCCCTTAGAAACGTCACACATAGTTATCGATATTTTGTTCTTATAGTACACATAAGGTAATTTTCTACTATTTTTTTCGGTCGGCTATTGGCGATGCTTCCGCGAGGAATATGTCATCTTCTGCTGACATACTTTTTTTTTATTAATATATATGTGAACTTCAAAATTTCCAACGTTTCTCAAAACAACTTTTTTGCATGAAATATTGATAATTTTAGCGCGTATTTCTTGAAATTTGAGTGTTTTCAAATGCAAAGAAGGCGTAATAATATAAATGTATAGGTATAGAACAGGTATGGTATTACGAATATATAGACTGCTGTTTGTATCAAATTGTTTTCTTTTTTATACTCTGCAAAGATAAAAACTATCGATTTTTTCCATGATGTTTACAGAGAAACGTCACAGCTGCCAACTCTGGCACCCCTGTAAACAAATGCGACGTTTCTCGTGGAAAAATCGATATGTGAGGCTTCCCCTACACAGTACAACTCAAGTTGTAAGCAGGTTACACGTGACTGCATGTACGTACACCAGAAACCACAAAAAGTACACCACAATTTTTTTTAAATGCACTCAATTAAAGCTTTCAGATTCCTTTATCGTCTCATTTAACTTCCAAGATATTCTTTGGCTTTGTTGGACATGAGTCTCTCTGAACATTTCTCATCCAATCGTGGCAAAAATCCGTTTTATTATTTATGTTAGGCCACTACAAGTTAATCTTTAGTTTCTGGTCCGCCGCCCGCGTCCTTTCTCCGTAAAGTATTATTTCAGGACTATTTTGTTGTTTACAATTAATTTCTAGTTCTTGAAAATTTTTGCGAAGGATTTAACTTATAGAACGATAAATATTCAATTTACACTAAAAAACCCTAGCAAAATGAAGTGTTGAAGGGTAAAAACGGATGCCTTATAAGTCTGCGTTCTCATTTGGCCATCATGCACGAGATTACGAGCCATACGAGATAAAAAACTATAAATAATCATTTTGATATGTAAAATCCTTTGAAATCTGTCGTGCATGTCATTTTTAAATAATGCAAATGCAATTTACGTAAAATTTTATAATATTTTGATACAATTAGCATGAAAAGGGACAAGAAAGACCACAAAAATGTGGGCAAATCCACAATTGTAATTATGTCCTATAGTCCTAACCACCCGCCCGCCCGCGTCGTAAACGGAGGAAAGGCCGGACCAGAAACTAAAGATTAACTTGTAGTGGCCTTACATGAAGTATTTCTCAGATGTGAGTGGAATGCAGTGAAATTTGATTGATTCTTTCTCTGATTCTTTGTTGCATTCTTTGATTCTTTGTTTATAAAATATGGCATCATTCAAGCTTGTAAATATAGAGGAAGTCAGCAAATTCGTTCAACGTTGTATGTGCTGTGTTGGAACAAATCCTGAGCATGCTCGACAACTTGCAGAGTTACTGGTTGCTGCAGATTGTAGAGGTCATTTCAGTCATGGTTTAAATAGATTAGGTAATCTTTTCATATTTAATATTTTTACACTCGAGGAACTTTTCGTCTTCCTCCAGGGTGCCGATACGTCGACAGTGCAATTAATAATGCTGATATTAAAAATATTTGGGGGCTAAAACCCTCATGTTAAAACCAGACTGTAAAGTTTGGCCTGCGCGGGGAATGCATTCTCCGCCGAGTTCTCCGCGCAGAAATTTTAGCTGAATTTCTAGAAATCCGTGCACTTTCAAGAAAATGCTACAAAATCTCCATATTTTTGATGAACTAATGATTTTTTTGTCTCTTATGTGTTGGGCCTTGCGAAAAGAGGTAGAGAGAACTCTGAAAATGCCATTTCAGACGATTTTAATAGGGGGAGCATCGATACTCAACTTGCCACGAGAAACGTCAATTTGACGTTTCTTTTTCATACCCACCCACCCACCCTAGAAACGTCAATCCGTGGCAAGAAAAAAACAAGTGTGAATATTCAAAAATACTTGTAATAACAAATAAATATAAAGCTTTGATTTACCGTCTTGCAAAGTAAGAAAGTTTGTTTGTTTGGTATATTTTCCTTGACTAGGGAAAACATTGTACAGGTTTGTGTTTTTAAAGTACGTATTACAAACAGAATTTTATATTATACAAAAGAATTTTATATTGTACTTTTATAATATTCAAAAGTGTCAAACTGCCACAGGCAAAACGTCAAAGAAAATAACCCACACACCCACAAACGTCAAATTGACATTTCTCGTGGCAAGTTGAGTATGGATGCTTCCCCTTAGGGCCTGTTCATATGGGCAAAAGTTATCCCGGTTAATGAGAAAACTTTTCGACTAGCCAAATACTTTTGTTCTGTTCATATGGAGAAACGTTATCTAGTTTTCGGCTGTGACGTAGCACTGAACATCAATTGAATTGAAAAGTTGCTGACACGACAGAAAGTTATCCCGCTAAGCGGGAAAGTTGTGTTCATATGGGAAAAACATTATCCCGGTCACCGAGATCTTGCCTGTCAACAAACGAGATCTCGGTACACGGGAAAACTTTTTGTCTCATATGAACGCAGTGTAACTTTTCATATTATTTTCATACCAAGGCGAGATCTCGCTTGTAAACTTGTCGAAAAGTTTTCTCGCTAACCGGGATAACTTTTGCCCATATGAACAGGCCCTTAGAGACTCCATATTTTCGAAATTTTCTGAAATGTTCTGCCATAGGTAGCCCAGACACTGTGCGATTTAAACTTAAATGCTTGGCATACTTAATTACCCCCTGCGGTGGTAAGTGGACATCATCTTTAAGAGACCCACCAAGGGGTTATGCTTGGCATAATTAATTACCTCCTGCGGTGACCAGTAAGTGGACATCATCTTTAAGAGACCTTCAAGGGGTTATGACCGACAGGCGACATTCCTTAAAAAGAGGTGACAGACTATCTAAAAAGAGCGACAAACAACAATTTATGACTGGGAAAAAGTTACTGTTCATGATTTGTGTTGTGGATCAAAAGTGACAGCGACATTTATTACAATAAAACAAGGCGACAAAGCAGCCACAAAATGAGTGATAAGCGACCTGGTTTACACCCTTGGTGGGCCTCCTTTAAGTATGCCGGGAAATGTAATAACCTAGATGTCAATTAAAATGGGCTAAACCAAACCCTTCCTTAGAACTGGCTGGCCCTCATGTTGGGGAACCTAGATAGCTCTGCTTTTCAAGATTTTTACCCCTCTGGAATGTGAAAATAGAAATGCTCTGGAAATACATCAACACTTTAACCCTTTAATTTAAGAGCTAGGCTATATGTTTTCTACTTTATTTACTCGACTCATAGAGGGGAGAGACTACATGCATGCCAGACTGCAGAGTCTGGCAAATGCACACACAAGATTTTTTGGCCAATGTAGCATGCACGCAGGCCCAGCGAACATGGAAAGTACAAAATACTGGGTCTTGCTTGCAGGCCCACTATTCTTCCCTTGGTGGGCCTGCACGCGGGCTATGGCCAATATATGGTATCGCACACTAATTAACATATATTTCAGATTTTTTCCAGTTTTGTCATGCATTAAAATAAGGACTTCTAAGACAAGTGTAATAATAACAACCACCTGAAAATTGTGAATGTTGATTCATGGGTGCAAAAAAGTTCATTACCCTTTAAGTGGCAATGCACCCTACTTTAGTATTTTACTCTGTCTAATGCCAGAGTATTTTACTTTGTCTAACGTTAGATGATTTTACTCTTCAAGTGGAGAGTGCTGCCACTCAATGGGTTTTAGAATAAAACTGACCATGTATCCTCTTGACCCCTTAAGTGGCAAATTAATGCACCCCGATGCGGCCTACTAATATTATTGTATTTTACTCTGTCTAATGCCAGAGTATTTTACTTGTCAAGTGGAGAGTGCTGCCACTCAGTGGGTTAAAGTTTTGAATTTCTATCTACAGCAGAGTTTTGCGATCATCAGGTTGTCATGACTGAACAAAACCATATAGCATGTAAGCATGGGCACATAAGAAATTTTTTGAAATTTGGAGTCTCTACATTGTCAGAAATGGCATTTTCTAGTGCACACTTTTCCATTTACAACTCAATTACAAGGACATGTAAATTAATTTTTCCTTTTACAAGGACACAAAGTGTTCAAAACATTCTATTTTGTGTTGTATAATATTAAATTTTTAAATATGTATAAACGAAATATATATTCTTGTTTGTTCATCAGAATTTGGACCAATTTTTGAAAATTTTAGTTATTTGTACAGTACAAATAAATAAATTTCCTCATTTTCATAGATTGGGTTATTCCAGAAAACATTCCAGGAAATTAGAAGTTAGCCCCTCTACTCCTTTGGATATCCCAGTGCATTGTAGTATATTTATATCTCCCCCTCTGGACGGGGAAAAATTACATAGTACATGAAATGTAGTCTGATATTATTTTTGTGTCTCACAGCCTCATATCGCAGCAAAAATCATGCATGCACACACATTTATTTCAAAGATATGGTTGATGCATGGTTGCCTGATTGTTGGAAGGAGTGACAAACAATAGCTGGTAGATTTTGCTTCTTCAGTCTTCACTTGCCTGCACACCCTTTTTCAATCAATCCCTGCACCTGAAGGCCTGTTTACACATGCAATTTTTGCTGCAGTGTTAATTATTTGCAGTAAATCATTTTCTTTTTCTGAAGGATGTAAATGAGTGGATGAGTTAACCACTTGTTCACATCCATCAGAAGACAAAAATCGCTCCTAAAATCGCAGAAAAAAAGTGATGGTCCTTCACTCAGGAATTTCGTTTGCTAGAAGGCACCATTGTTTAATTTCTTTTTTGGTATGAAATTTAATCATTTCAATGAGTTTGTTCAAGATAACTTTTGTGTTGTTCAAACACATGTTGGTTAACTATTTTCTTCCATACTTGCTTAGATTGAAACTAATAAGATAAACTCTGTTAGAGTCTCCATATATTAACTTAGGTACCCGGACATTTTGCCGAAAGACACTTTGCCGAAAGACATTTTGCCGAAAGACATTTTGCCGAACGGACACTTTGCCGACGGACGTTTTGCCGAACGGACGTTTTGCCGAACGGACATTTTGCCGAACGGTCATTTTGCCGATCGGACAGTTTGCCGAAAAGACAACTTGCCGAAAATAGAGATGTTATTTCGTCAAAATGTTTGGGACTGTGACTCGTTTCTCAACAGTGTAATTATCAACCATTGAGTAAAATAACCATTATATGGTCATTAGCATTGCATAATGGTCATTAGCAGCGCATATAATGGTCGTTAGCGGTGCGTAACTATATTGACTATTGGTACCTTGTTTGTGCAACGGATGATTCATTTGCTAGGAACGTGTTTTGACGTCAGGTCGTAAACAAACAAGACTTTGGTGTGTATAAAGACACTGAACGACGTAAGCGAATTTCACTTCGAGAATCATGGAATACATTCACAGTTCTCGGGGAAATCGCATTCATGAATAGTACAGTACAGTATGAATGATTTTGAATGATGTTATTCTTTTATATATCATTAAATTTCGGTAAACTTAATTGAAAGAATATAAAACGAAACTATACTTCACTATCGACAATGACTTTAATTTAATTAATCACAGAAACTTTGACCGTATAAACGAACCTTTAGATAGATAGATAGATAGATAGATACTTTATTGCGTGTTCCCCTAAGGGCTTTTCAACACTACATTACATATTAAAATTACTATAAATTACTTCTAAAACTACCTATGTTACATATACTTATTTAAAATTAGTTAAAATATGTACAAAAAGTATGAAATATTAAATATATTTAATAGAATTCTTTTAGTAAAATCTCTCTAAGTTTTTTCTTAAAAATTGTTATTGATGTAATATTTTTTAGTTTATCATCCAAGTCATTCCATATTTTAGCACCCCGGTAATTAAATGTTCTTTGACCTGCAGCAGATTTATACAGAGGGATGTCCAAGAGGTCATGATTTCTTGTCGATCGATCATGTATGTCGGAACGCTTTATAAATTTATCTACTAGGTAGTCAGGTGCAAGCCCATTAAAACACTTGTAAGCCATTACAGTATCTCTTTCCAATAATAACTTTTCCACTGGCAACCAATTTAGTTTGCGCAACGCCGGAGTTATGTGATCGAACTTTCCTACCCCTGATATAACTCTGCACGCGAAGTTCTGCACTGATTGAAGTTTATTGATATTGTTAGATGACGTGTTGGACCACACCGTAGAGCAGTACAGAAGCTTGTTAATTACAAGTGTCTCAATGACCAATTTTAATGTTTCATTATCGAAACTATCCTTCACGCGATTTATTTGACATAGTTTTCTCATACACGACAAAACGAGTTTAGATATGTGGTCGTCGTAGGATAGGTACGAATCCAAATTGATTCCCAAATCTTTAGCTAATAAAACAGGTCTTATAGTCTTTCCTAAAAATGTTAGCGATATTTCTGTAGGTACGTTCTGCAGCATGGGTCTTGAACCTTTAAAGTTCAGAAGATATATCTATTTTCGGCAAGTTGTCCGTTCGCCAAACCGTCCGTTAGGCAAACTGTCCGTTCGGCAAAATGTCCGTTCGGCAAAACGTCCGTTCGGCAAAACGTCCGTCGGCAAAATGTCCGTTCGGCAAAATGTCTTTCGGCAAACTGTCTTTCGGCAAAGTGTCTTTCGGCAAAATGTCCGGCCACCCTGTGAATAGGCTCTAAGAGACATAAAAAAGTAGTGGATTTTCAGACGGAAAAGTAAATTTCAAAATCTACTATTCCGGTTGTATAGTAGAAGCAAATGTAAATTTCGACCCCAGTGTGGTGAAAAATTGTTCAGAAGATAGAACTTGTCAGAACGTTTACTATATTGTTTTAGAAATGTACGTCCGTGATGTAAAGGAAGGAACGACATTACCTGATGGTCAACCAATTATTGATAAAGAAACAGTTTCAACTGCTTTGGTTAATGCTAATAATATCTTAGGACCCGTAAGTGGATAGTACAAATCTTGAAGAATATCTTGATTTATAATAGTTTGGGGCGTGCATGATTCTTGTCTCTTTCGAAAATACCGTGCATCCCGGTACGGTCAGTAATACACAATATAATAACTACAGTGAAACACGCAATTTGATTGGCCAATAGCCGTGCAGGATCAGGCTATCTTGCACAAGGAATTAAAATGCCTTCGCGGGATTCTCAAAATGTCATTGTTTCACAGACGTGACTGTAGTTATTTTATAAAACAATTACCAACTGGTTTTCCAAGCAGGATAGCGTGATCCATGCACTTGGGATGTTGCTCGACTTTCGGAAAGCGTAAAAATACACTCGCCTGTGGCTCGAATATCTCGCGACATCCCTCGTGCATGGATCACGCAATCCTGCACAGAAAACCATTCGGTATTCTTTATTAATTCACGCTGTATAATGAACAAGGTCACTAACATAAATATTACTTTCAATTTATCAAGGTGAGCAGTAATTTCTGTATGGATCTAGCAATGAAGAAAGCTAAGGAGACTGGTGTAGGATGGGTCACATGTCATGGTAAGATCTCCATTTAGAACATGCTTCTGTGTTTTCCATAAGAATTTTATCGGATTGAAAGTTAGAGAATTCACATCAAGTTATTCCCTTTTATCCATGGATACCCTTAATAAAAAGTGTAGCTGCAAGAATGTGTTTATATAAAGATTGATCTTTAGTAAAGTAAGTTACTTTGTAGCTTATTGATCAACCTGGTTGTGAATTCTTGTGATCACACCAACCACGCAAGCCAGGGTCTTTACGGTCTATACATGCTATACCCTGTCTACGAGGTTGTGATCACACATGCTTCAAGATTCATAAATGACCATCTTCTGGTTGTTCATTCTAATTTTTCATTAAAGGTGCAAATCATTTTGGCATTGCTGGTTACTACAGCATGAAGGCAGCCAAACAAGGATTAATTGTGAGTTGCGCTTGTCTACGTCTGGCCCGAAAATGACAGAAAACTAGGAGGACGTTCTTGGTGAAATTGCGCTGTGTGTGACGTCGTACATTATTATACTTTATAGTAAACTTACGAACCAACTTTTCCATTTCGAACTATAGTTTTGTTCTTTAAGTATCAGCGATGATTCTATTGAATATTGAAAGTTGTTTCTATAAAGAACCATGTGCATGTGTGTAACCCATTTATATTTCTGTGCATTTGGACATTTTGTAGGGTATGGCAATGACTAATACTTTTCCACTGATGGTTCCAACCAGGGCAAAAACGGTAGGTACAATCAAAAGGGTCGTTCATTTTATTTGTTACAAATATTTGTACTTAATAAGTTCACGAAACGTTTTGTTATGATTGCAGAAAACGCTGGGTACAAATCCAATATCAGTGGCAGCGACTGGCGAGAATAATGAAAGTGACATGTTTGTTTTAGATATGGCCACTACATCTGCAGCTCTAGGAAAGGTAAACGACGTATACAGTAGTATATTGGCACTGTCCAATACAGTAAAAACCTGGGCAAAAGAACCACCATTTCGTATGTCAGGCTGAAGTAGTTCTTATATAATAGCTATGTCGATGCGAATCTGCGATATACTCGCTCGACACCGGCAGGGATGAACCAAATTAAACAACACTTTGTACTCGTTTATATTATAATTATTACCGTTATACATGTACGTTAACCGTTTACAACATAGTACTGTACAAAAACGTTGTAACTATAGTACAAGATCGGTAGAATTAGAAAGCTAAGTAGTTCGTTCAATGTACGTTAATCACTAATGAAGTTCTCGTCTAGACGACCTAGCTGTTAAATATTAGCGGTTTGTTATATATGAATATATTACATGATTATACAGGACACAAACAAGTCAGAATTGAAAGGCTAATATGCAAATAGCTATCCTAAATTTGAATAAGTATCTGTAACTATCTTAAATTAAACATTAACAATAAGCTATATATTTTTGGCACTAACATTAGGCTCCCCTATAAGAGAATATCCTGCTCTTATATTCAATATAATTCCAGTTAGTGCATTTTTCTTTTTATCTAAAAACTGTCCGTTCTCCTTCAAATATAAAAAAGTGTAAAATAAATTACTACTATGGGTAAAAAACAATCAATGAAATCTACTTAATGTTTTGTCCATCTAAATTTTCGTCGTTTTCCATCAACAGTACCAGTTTATCAATTGGACGTTCTTGGGTGGAAAATGATGACTTGAGCGTCACTGAACGAACGAATCCTTCGAATCTTGCCTTACGTTGACCACTCGTGCCATAGGCCAATCATTTCTTGCGGTGTTTTCATCTTTAATAAGAACAATGTCTCCAATTTCGATGTTTCTTTTAGGCTGATTCCTCTTCGTTCTCGCTTGTAAGGTTTGCAAATATTCTCTTTTCCATCTTGTCCAAAATATGTTCGCCATGTATTGGACTCTTCTCCACCTCGTTCGAAGATAAACATCATCCTTTTGAAAATCACCGGGGGGAGGCATAACCACCTTAGATTTCATGGTCAGAATGTGATTGGGTGTCAAAGGTTGGAGATCTGTGGCATCACCGGATGGGAAGGTTAACGGGCGGCTATTAACAATACATTCCACTTCGGTCATTAGAGTGCGTAAGGATTCATCATTTAGGGCGTGTCCGTAATCGCGTAGAAGAGAAGACAAAATCGATCGAACTGTACGGATCTGCCTCTCCCATACTCCTCCCATATGCGAAGCGGCTGGTGGATTTCGGTTCCAATTGATCAACCAATCTGCGTTGAACTCTTTTGAGGAAATTTCCTGTAGTCGTTTATGGTCCATTTCTTCTAATGCTGACTTGAGTTCCCTTTCAGCACCGATAAAGTTGGTTCCACGATCTGATCTCATTTGACGTACAGGTCCAACTCTGGCGACGAATCGTCTTAAGGCACATATGAATGAATCACTCTCTAGAGAAATCGCTGTTTCAAGGTGGATCGCCCTGCTGGCAAGGCATATGAACAATACACCATATCTCTTCAACTGCTTACGGCCTCCTTTCACGAGATACTGGCCAAAGTAGTCCACAGCGCAGTAAGTAAATGGCGGTGCTGGTGTGACACGATCTTTGGGTAAATCGGCCATCATTTGCTCACCGACGACGGCACGCAATCTTCGACACCTAACGCACTTCGATATATAATGTCTAACTGCCGAGTTTGCATTTGTTATCCAATATTTGCTTCGGAGCTCGTTTAGGGTATTTCCTCTTCCCGCATGTGCAACCTCGTGGCTATGACGGATAACCAAAGTCGTGATATGGCTTTTCTTCGGTAATATTACAGGATGCATAAGATCTTCGAGCAAGCTTCTTGATTTGCCTAATCTGCCCCCGACACGTAACAGTCCGTTTCTATCGATCAACGGGTCCAGTCGGAACAAGGAACTAATCGTTTTGATTTTTTCTTTTCACTTCTAATCTTCGCTCTTGGATCACTGTGGTTCTCAGCTAATACTTCTTTAAGGGCAGCAATTCCATTGGAAAAGGAATCATTTTGAGCCAATTTCAGGATCACTATTTCAGCCTTTTCCATTTCGTCAACTGTAATTGGTCTAGGTTTCTGTTCTGATATCTTCTTAGCATTGTTCCTAGTCATCGGAATGGACGACTTGCGCTTTAGACTAAATTTTAATCTAAGTAAGAACAACGAAATATATCACCACAGCTAGAAAGAGCGTCTTGGAATTAGTAATATTACAAAGTTTGGTTGCGAAATGTTGTAGAATACGGAAAATATAGCCCTTCAAAGTTGGCAAATTTGTATACTTTTGTATTACGTGCGTAATTGGTAACTAAATTAGTTACCAATTTCCACACGTAATAGAAATGTTTACAAATTTGCCAACTTTGCAGGGCTATATTTTCAGTATTTTACAACATTTCGCAACCAAACTTTGCAGTTTTTCTAATTTTGATAACTTCTTTCCGAAAATATCCTTTGTTATTCCCAGATTAAAAATTTTTCTAAAGCGCAAGTCGTCCATTGCTTGCTCGTATTTTCGCTAAAGTGACCGTAGCAACCACGCAACGACTTTCTTCACACGCGACCACTGCGAGAAGTATTCCAAACGCTTCAGCAAGTCATTTTGTTCAATTATCGTTGTATGCGCAGTTTTGATCTCTAGGTCGTAATCGCCGATTTCCTTAACTGTTTCGGGATATTCTGGCCATTCGATCTCTGGTCTCCATAAGAATTCTGGTCCTCTTATCCAGCGCTGCTGTTCGAGAAAACTGTGAATTTCCATACCGCGTGAGGCGTCATCGGCTGGATTTTCCTTGGTATCCACATATCTCCATTGATTCAGATCAGTTCTATCTCTGATAGCTTGAATTCGATTGGCGACGTATCGTTTTAACAGCTTTATTGAACGATGTTCAAACGGCAAGAGTGCGAACGGATCTCAAGACCCATGCGAGGCACTCACCCTCTTGAATTTTGTTTACATCTAATATCATTATATTTACGACAATATTATAAATTGGTAAACATATACCAGCTGATTAATATCAAATAGGTCGCTATTGCACCACATTTAAGTCATACATAATACAGATTTGTATAATCATGTTAAAAATTTAAAAGCTGAATTAACTATTTCTATGGCATGAACAGCTACGATACAAAGACCACGTACAGCACATGTCAACATCAAAACTACTACTTAATAAATTGAAGTATGTTCTTGATAAGAAGGATTTAAACCTTGCCAAACTGCGAAGATCTCCAGGAGAGAAGCAATTTTGCAAGTATGATTCCAGAGTGGAACAATACGGTTAAAGAACGATGACTGAAAAGTGCTACTTTTACATGACGGAACTTTAAGCACTAGAGAGTCTGAAGGATTATTACAATTACGGGTACGACTATGATTAACAAATGACACAAAATCGAAAACATCCAAATCATAAAAACCATGCACAGTTTTAAACATAAATGTCAAATCCTTAATTTCCCTGTCAAACGCCAGTGGTAAAAGATTCAGAGCCAGCAATCTGTCCTTGTAGGTCATGTCACCTTTCTTCGATTGAAGGATCCATCTTGTTGCACGCCTTTGGACTTGCTCCAGATTTAATTTGTTATTATATTGGGAGGGAGACCAAACCTCTCTGGCACGCCGGATACTGCGGTCTGTTAGCAAGGGGCATGTTCTTCTAAGCAAACCAAGCAACCTGTTCGCCTTGACTTTTATTTTATTGATATGGGTTGTCCATGAAAGGTTACTGGTCACTGTGATTCCCAGATCAACGTCATTCACACGCTTCAATTCGGATGATCCCAGATAATATTCGAAAAGAAAAGGTGTTTTACGGCGGGAGAATGTCAATATTTTACATTTTGAGGGATTAAAATTGATGTTGTTATCCTTACTCCAAACATCCGCACACGACAAAGCTTCTTGTAACTGTGAACAATCCTCTGGAGTTGAGATTTCTCTATATAGTTTGGTATCATCAGCATACAGTCCTGTTGATGTAGATTCAGGAATGACATCAGGAAGATCGTTGATGAAGAGTAAGAAAAGCATTGGACCCAAGATGCTTCCCTGTGGAACGCCAGAAGTGACGGGGGACCATGACGAAGCAGCACCCTCTACAACAACACGCTGGGTACGGTTATGCAGGTAGTCAGAGAACGATCTGTAAAGGTTTCCTGCGATACCGTAATCTTTCAGTTTTCTTAAGAGAATGACATGATCCACTGAGTCATAAAATAACATGATCATGAGAATAACATGATCAACTGACGTATGTATGAAAACGGGCTTTATCATTATTGATATACTTTATGACTTTCGTGCTGTCCGTCCAATATGTCTCTTTCTCCGGTAAGTCCAATTTTTCTTTAAGCATTGTTCCGAGTTTGGCAGATAATACAGCAGCCGTAAGCTCCAGGCGTGGTATGGTTACTGCTTTCAACGGGGTAAGACGAGATTTTCCCATGAGAAAAGCACAATGAATATCTCCTCTGTCGTTAACTTGTCGCAGATACGAGACCGTCACGTAACCTGTGAAACTTGCGTCCGAGAAGCTGTGAATCTGTCTACTCACTGACGTTCCGAAATCCAGGGGTTTGAGGCATCGAGGCAAAACAAACCGTTCCAATGCAGGAAGTTCGTTTCTCCATCTTTCCCAACGAGCACGGTATTCTTCTGGTAGGGCATCATCCCAATCGACTTTATCCCTGCAGAGCTCTTGAAGAATTTTCTTGCCAGGCAATAGAGTCGGTGCCGCCATTCCGATTGGATCATAAATCGAACTGATAGTTGATAAAACACCTCGACGAATCAGTGGTTTATCTTTCAAGACAATCTTGAATCCCAGTTCATCTGATTCGACGAACCATTGGACCCCAAGAGCACGTTCTATTGGCAAATGATCGTAACTCAGATCCAGGCTTTTAAGGTCCTTAGATCGTTCTTCTTCTGGTATTGTTTCCAGTATGCGACGTTTGTTGCTCGTAAACTTGGTGAGACGGAAGCCGCCCTGAGCACACATCCGGGTAACACTGTTGATTCGCTCAGTTGCCAGTTCTTCAGTTTTCTCAGATCTCAAACAATCGTCCACATAGAAATTTTTCCTTAAGACGTTGGCAGCTTCGGTGCCTTCTTCGAACTCATCTGCTGTTCTTCTCAGTGCATAATTCGAGCAGCTCGGCGAGGAAATCGCACCAAATAAGTGTACGTTCATCTGAAACTCTGTTAAGTCCTGCGACAAACCACCATTTGGCCACCATAAAAAACGAAGAAAGGTTTTATGTTCTTCTTGCACACGAACTTGATAAAACATACTTTCAATGTCGGCCATAAATGCGGAATGCTCCTCTCGAAATCATCGTCAGACCTCCGTGCTGAACAGACGTCTGAAAATTTGTCTTAAGTTGATATATTGCAGATCTATTTATTGTTGAAAAGTTTATGCTAAACTAATATGACCGATTCTATTAAAACATTGAGAAAAGAAAACGAAGCTTTGAAAGGCGAACTAAAATCCGTTGTAGCGGACATGTTAACGCTGAAGGCGAAGTTTGAAGAACAAAGTCCGCCATCACAGACGAGTACATCAGAGCAAGCGAAAAGTCTCCAGTATCTAAGCGATGAATATGACGACCTAAAGTTATTCAAATCTTCAACAGAAAAGGAGATCAAGCGTTTAAACACAAGATTAACCGAGATATCTTTGAAGGTCGACAGCGTATCCGACCATATAGATTCAATCGAACAATATAGTTATAACTATAACGTGAAGATCTTCGGCATTCCACAAACTCGGGAAAATGAAACCTCTGCAGATACCGCAGATATCTGTATTCAATTGTTCTCCAGTATCGGAGCAACCAACGTTACTCTGCAAGACATAGACATTGCTCACAGGATTCCTAGTCGAAGACAATCCGACAGACCTAATCCCATCATATGCAAGTTCACAAGACGTTTAGCGAAAGCGACTGTGATGTCCAGAAAGAAAGAAACCAGAAAGCTAACAGCTGCTGATTTGGGCTTCGACCGCCGAACAAGACTTCAAAACGTAGCCATATATGACCATCTAACTCCTAAACTACAACAACTTCTATATAAAGCTAAACGCTTCCAAGCCGACAACAACTACAAGTACTGCTGGTCTAAATCATCAGCCATTTTCCTGCGTGAAAATGAGCAATCTCGAGTGATAAAGCTGAGTAATATGGCCGAATTTGAACGCTTTATGCAGAACCGAAATGATGGCACAGATGAGTAAACTTTTACATATCGTAACTTAATTATAAACTACAACTAACCGTTGTTTAAATGACTGCTAACGAGCGTAAATTATTCCTAAGGGAACTGCCATTTTATGGCACAAATTATATAGAACTAAACAATACTCCATCTGGTATTCATACAACAATGAAAAGTTTGAATGCACTTTCTAGCATACATGACATGGAACTATATAATCTAAACCAAACTAATTTTAGTGATATAGATCCCGATCAATTTCTTTCAAAACACCAAATTCGCACTTTCTATCATTCTTCAAACACTTTCAAACAGCTAAGGAACTCTTGGACGAAATCTAATGTAACTTCTAGCGTGTCTTTTTTCCATAATAATATTAGGAGCTTAAAACGCAATCTAGAAAATTTACAAGTCCAATTATTAGATGAACTTAATTATCATTTCAATGTTATTGGTATTACCGAAACAAAAATCACACATTCAACCCAACTTAATTTCAAAACAGAGATTCCAGGATATGAATTTGAGTACGTTCCTACACCACTAGCTTCTGGAGGTGTCGGTATGTATATTGATAATACGTTAGAGTACATAGTGCTAGAGAAATGCTCAAATGATGCGTTTCAGGCCTTATGGATTGAAATAATCAACAATGATAAGAAAAACATAATCTGCGGAGTTATCTATCGCCAACACAATAATCCTAATTGTTTTATGGCATATCTTGATGAAATGCTTGAAAAATTTACTTCAACAGGCAAGTCTCTGTGCATCATGGGGGATTTCAACGTGGATCTTCTAAAATCAAATAGTTGTAGCTATGCTGAACACTTTCTTCTTTCTTGTCAAAGTTATTCTTTGTTACCATCAATTGATAAACCAACTAGAATATATAATAATTCTGCTACTCTTATTGACAATATACTGGTAAATACATACGACCAGAAAATTTATAGTGGCAATATCATATCCGATATAAGTGATCATTTTTCACAATTTTGTGTTATTCAGTCACTTAAAGATAAACCAAAATTGCCGGGAAACCGGAAAATGCGGGATTTTTCGCGATTTTCAGAAAATAAATTCATAAATGAGGTGAGGCAAATCAGATGGAACATAGTTATTGAAAAGCACCGTAGAAATGTTGATAAATTGTTTTCATCATTTTACAACAAATTAAATAAATTAGTAAACAAACACGTACCTCGTAAAAATGTTACGAAACGTGATATGAAGAACTTTTCGAAACCATGGATTACCACAGGGATAAAAAGATCAATCAAAGAAAAAAATAGATTACTCACTCAAGGAGAGCATGAGAAATATAAGTATTATCGCAATAGAATATCAACTCTTATTCGAGTAAGTAAAAAGAAATATTATTATGAATATTTCGAAATTAATCTAAATAATATGAAAAACACTTGGGATGGTATTAATGATTTAATTAACAGGAAAAAAGAAAATCTTGTAAAATATCTGGTTTAAAAGATACTGAAACTGGTCAAATTATTCGAGATCCATCAGTACTCCCAAATTTGTTAAACAAATATTTCGCGTCGATAGGACATAAGTTAGGAACAGATACGACACAATCCGAAAGTCATTTTTCTGATTACATAAAAAATATTCAAATTCAACAGTCTTTCTTCTGCACACCAATTACGCCGTCAGAAATAGAGTCCGAAATACTGTCTATACAAAACAAGAAAGCCTATGGTTTATACTCGTGTCCTACAAAAATTTTAAAATGTTCAAGTAACGTGATAAGTAAACCTTTTTCTGATATTTTAAACATATCAATTGAAAATGGAGTTTATCCTTCTATTTTAAAACATGCCAAAGTAATTCCTATTTTCAAATCCGGTGATGAAACGGAAAAAGGCAATTATAGGCCTATATCACTTTTATCAAACTTAAATAGAATTTTTGAAAAAGTTATGTACAAACGCTTTATGAGTTTCATCCAAGACAAAAATATTCTATATCACTCACAATATGGTTTTAGACGGCAACATTCAACGCAACATGCAATTCTTGATATAGTTAATAGGATACAGGAAAATATAGACAATAAAAAATTTACGTGTGGTATTTTTATTGATCTACAAAAAGCGTTTGATACTGTAGATCATACAATTTTATTACGTAAACTTCAATGTTATGGATTCAGAGGTATAATCTATGATTGGTTTTCATCATATTTAACAAATCGAATTCAAACTACGGAAATTGATAACAATATTTCGAACAAGGAAAGAACAATTTGTGGTGTACCACAAGGATCAGTACTTGGTCCACTACTTTTTCTTATTTATATAAACGATATTCATTACTCTTCTGACAAATTTAGTTTCCATTTGTTTGCTGATGATTCCAACTTATTATATTCAAACAAGAATCCTAAAACCCTTGAAAGCATTGTTAACACAGAACTAGAAAAAGTTTACAGATGGTTAAATGCAAATAAATTAACAATGAATACTAAAAAATCAAACTTTATTATTTTTCATCCTTATCAAAGAAATCTAAACTACCAAGTAAATATAAGAATATTTGACTGGAAGGACAAGAAATATATTTCTCTTGAACGCAAGGAATACATTAAATATTTGGGACTTTTACTAGATGAACATTTAACTTGGAAACAACATATAGATTATGTAGCATGCAAAGTAAG